ATTGTTACGAACTTGGAGCTACTTAGGATGAACAAATGTAGTTTCATGTTACAATTTGAAGTCATTCTAGAAAGAAAAAAGGATAATTTAAGAGTTACTTCTATATTTATTTATTTATTTTATTTCTTTAGTGGTTATTAGGTTGGAGAGAGAGAATTTCAGATAAACTACAAAGTTTTACTGAAGAAAAACGTTTGAAATGCATTTAGAAGGTTTTAGGGATTACACAAAGTAAATTTGAAGTTTTTGAAATGAGGAAAACTATTTTTAATGTTAACATGAAAATTACTTTGCATATGGACTATTATTCAAAACAAATACTCAATATATTCATGGACAAAACTGTATTTTATTTGATTAAAAATCCTTCACTAAGAAATATGAGTTTTTATATGTGAAAGACATAATAATAACCGAAAGACTGCCAAATTTTGTGAAGATATATATATATATATTGAAAGTTAGAAGTATTAAATCTATAAAGACTTTAAACGAATAAAAAGAGGTCACGTGGTCAGTCAAATTGTGAGATACACTAGTGCTTCAGTTATCTGTTGGAAAAATTTACAATAATGTAGAAAGATAATGTTATTTTTAAATTTCTGAAACAATTTCATCTAGTAGATTTTGTTTTTTTGAAATACGATAAAACTGTACACAGCTATGTTAAATCAGTGCACCGTGTTTTTGAATTAAAGAATAAGTTTCGTCAGTAAATTTTTTGCCTTAGTATAAGTAAAGTTTTGTTTTTGTGAAGTGAATAATAGTTGATATTCATTCATTTTGTATGACTTCTAGAAATCAGTTTTAAGACCTAAAAAATTTTGAGTTTTCGTTTATACTGAAAATTTATAAAATTTCAAAACTGATCATATTAAAAATAGAACAATCTTGTGTCTAAAGTTCATTATGTTTTTTTTAAAACAATAAGGAATTTAAAACATTAATTGGGTTTTTCGTAAATTTATTGTAAAAAAAGTTCAAAAGAGTTGTAATGGGTTTTTGTTTTTTTAAACTTTAAAGGCACCATTACGTGTCGACCTGACCAATTTCAATGTAAGAACCATCACTGTATTCCTGGACATTTACAGTGTAATGGGGAAAAAGAATGCCCTGATGGATCAGATGAGGAAGAATGCCCAGGTTAGTTGCATGTTTCACCACACTCAACCTTTGGTTTTTAATTGAAGAGTATCTAGAATTGTAGTAAATGTTTGTTTTTTTTCATTTGCTGGCTTTGTCTGTAGGAGTTGGTAATGACCACACAGCCCTCAGTTTTTATGAATCTGAATTGTTATCATGTTTGGATTGCAATGAAAATTGTACTGACTGTTCGTTATTTGAAAATTGGCAACTGTAAAAAATATTGAATTCTAATTGTGTACAATTTCCACCATTTTTTATTTTAACATAGTTTGTTAGCAGATTAATTTACCCCAAAGAATCTTGCAAATCACAAAGTCTGTTGTACCTTCCGTAATGTATAAATATACTTTTCAAAATTCTTAAGGAAGAGATTAAAATATTTAAATAATCAATGTTTAAAGAAATGGAAGCTAGTCCAAAGAACTTGTTAGATCAACAAACATCTGTTATTTATATAAAAATGAATAAAAACCTTATAACCCGAGTGCTTTCAAAACTTGCTCAGGTTATAAGGTTTTTATTCGATTCTATCGAGACTTCTTGAACCTATGTGTTTTTCTAACATCGTGAATGTTATTTGTTTACTCTAGTGTTACACAAGTCATGTGACCCAGAGACTCAGTTTGACTGTGGTGATAATCACTGTATCCCTATGAATTTAGTGTGTAATAACAAGAATGACTGTGGGGATTGGGAGGATGAACCTGACCATTTGTGCAGTAAGTTTATGCTATGTAACTTGTAACTGTTTGTAAACATGAATAGTGCAATACACACTAAGATAAATTTTATTTTGGTCATAAGATATTTTCCATACGTTTGAAGTATTGAAAGTTGTACTATTCTGTATATAATAGAGAAATCTTATTGTAAGCAGTACATAATTTTTCTGTGAATATCGTCATTAAAAAGGTTTATATTCACACTGTAATGAATAGAAGGATTAAAAAATAATATACAGAACTTCTGGTTTTTTAAAGGTGCTAATATATTTAACTTTAGGGATGTTGTTTCCTATAGACCAAATCTTACAACTTATTTCGTAAAACCAATTAACTCTCTCCATATACGAACTCTAATTTTGAACAGTCTTGCAACCACCAGGTAAACATGAAAGTATACATACTATAATTTTTAATATGGTAAGTGTATTTTCCGGAATTTTGTTAGCTTAAACAGTGGTCTTTTATACCCAAAAAAATTAGATTTTTTTTTATAGTTTTCTTTCTAAAGATTTGTCTGAATGGAAGAAGATTTTCATTTTAAGATTAAAATTACTTCTCATCGTCTTTTAAATCTCATTTGCATAACTTCTAGGACCTTCTAAATGAATATTAAAAGTTTTCTTTCAATAAAACTACATTTTATATGTTTCCATGCTAAAACTTTGACTTTGCCTATTTAACCAACCTTCTAACCGCTGTGAAAAAAATACAAAATATATGTAAATTACTTTTTTATCATAATCAGCCTCAGGCTTCTAATGGTTTACATTATTTCTAAATTTATTGATCTTTGAACTATGTCTAGCTACTAAATCTGTGTAACAAGCTGTAGAAACATGGCGAATATGTTGGTCAAGTTAAAGTTTCATTCAAACCTCATTCAGAATTTTTTACTTAACATTTTTGTTTTTTCTTATGTACTCTTAATAAGTTTCTAATTTTTAAATGTTTGTTATTTTTATAATAAAAAATTTACGTAAAGGAACAAAGTTAGTACTCATGAAATGCAACCTTATTTTGTTTTTAATGATGATAGTTGCACAAAAAATAATTTTTAATTATTTCAAAAAGGCAATTAAGAGCACAAAATAACAGCACGCACAAAGTATACAATGTCCTATAGCTATTATAATTTAACTGGTGTAAGTGTATAAAATAATTTACTTGCTCACTGTGAAGTCTGCAATAGTAACAATAAATATATAAACTGAATAATTCAAACATTGTCGTCGTAGTGAGTTAACTGTATACAGAAATCAGTAAATTAAAATCTCTTTCTGTTGGCTATGAATATCCCAAGATGAAATTTCAAAGTGAATTATTAACATTTTGGGAGATACAGTATGTGATTGGAGGGCATGACAATTAACATTTTGGGAGATACAGGACGCGATTGGAGAGCATGACAATTAACATTTTGGGAGATACAGGATGTAATTGGAGAGCATGACAATTAACATTTTGGGAGATATAGGATGTGATTGGAGGGCATGACAATTATCATTTCTGGAGATACAGGATGTGATTGGAGGGCATGACAATTAACATTTCTGGTCCAATCACATCCTGTATCTGGGCATTACAATTAGGTCTGACTTTCTGGTTTATATCTCTCTAAACCAAGAAGATTGAAGGCTATGAAATTAGACTATGTTATAGTAGTATTCCTCCTATAAATGTGTCATGTAATACAATGAAATGAAGATTGAGATACACTTTCCTGCACAAGTCACTGAGTTACATTTAATATTTAATTAAACACCTTTCCTATCAATGTATGTGAATGAAATTAACATTATAATGTATATTGTAATTCGAAGTTTTATTTATATAAGGTTTAATTCCTTTATTTCCAAAGAAACCTTTAAAAAATAATTAAAATTTGGGTTTTGTTGTCAGGTGACCCACAAGCTATGAAAAACCTCAACTTTCATGCTCTCAGTCTTGTGTAAGATAATGTCAGTCATGTAAATGTAGATTTAGATAATGAGTAGATTTAATGCCCCTATTGACACACAAGTTTCAAAGTAATGAATTTTGTCAATCCCTAATGGGTGCCATGCCCATTTTCTGTGCTTGTTCTTGAGCTTTATAACATACACGTGGTAGCTACATATACAGGTGTATAGTCATTAGAAAGAGCTCATTTTACACTGTAATCCAACAATGGTTATTTTCAAATTGGCATGCAGTTGTTGTAACTGTGTATATATAGTATTATTGGCTGCCTTATCCACGAAAGCGTTACACATTACATGTTATAGCTAGAGAGACAGTCAAATTGTATTTAGGCCTTACTTTTATATATCTTAGTTAATTATGTATTATTCATGTTTTAAAATGCATAATTGAAAGATTTAAACATTTTTTAAATGTACATCATATTTTGGGTCAGTTCTCAAGGCTTAAGATCTTGCATTGAGGGTAGGATAATTTTGCCAAAGGCTTGTGCATCTTGCCTGAAGATCCTGTAATTACACCCTTAGGGCACCATTGACTTGTGCCAAGATTAGTAGTAAAAGGTAAAAGAAAGAAAAATACAAAATTAAAAAATAACTATATATGAAAAGGAAATGACCTGAAATTATGAATGTAACCAAAAAAAAAAGATCTTTTAAGATATTCTAGGAAAAATTAACAGATATGTACATTTTTTTTTGCTAATTCTTAATTTTAAACATTTCATTGCACTGCATGTTGATGGTAATATAACAGTTAGTGATACTATCAGAAACACCACCATACAGGTGGCTGTTTGTGCTAGTAATTAGTAATTGTAGTATTTGTACTTCCTTGACAAAAATTTAGAAAAAATGAACATTTTCTAAAAAAATGTTTTTTTTTTATGGGAAGTGTTCAGATTGTGTTCTTTAGTCATATGCAACTCATTGCATCAAAATGAGTCAATGTACAGAGATCAAAATTTTCATAAATTTTACTGATATAAACTATAATGTTTTTATATATTAAAAGTGTTACCTTTTATCGAAAAAAACGTTGTTTTTTTTTAAGAACTCCAGTCTATCATTCTTATATTTATTAGGCCAACTGCTAGGGACACTTGTCTAGACGATGGAATAACATTCTTTTCTATTTCACACATGCAAATCCACACACTGCAAAGTTTCTTGGCATAGTTCTAACAAACAGCATGAAATCTGCTCTTTCCATTGGTTATAAGCATGCCTTTCAGCTTAAAACTGTCGCTTAGCAACAGTTTCTACTTTGAAAGTGGGTGGAGCTTATCTTTGACTTTGGAATTTCTACAATGGTTTTTTTTGTCTGAGTCTAGTTCTTGGAAATACTCAAAATACTTCTAAAGAACTTCAAGGTTGTACTTTAACCATCTGAAGGAAGGCAGTCTGCATTCTTGCAGTTGTTTTTCCCTAAAGTTCAGATCGTGGTCATGATACGTGTTGAAATTTTAATCATTGTTGTTGAGGTTTCTTTTGAAATAAAGGAATAAAAAGTTACGTAATATAAAACGGAATTAGTATGTACATGATAAAAGTAATTTCATTAAAATACATTTATAGTAAAGTGGTTTAATTAAACTTTGAATGTGACTCGGTAACATGCACAGAAAGGAGTTTATAAATGGTGTTATCATTGTAGGGTTAAGTAAATATTCAAAGGACTTGTGTAAAAGGAAAACATAAACAACTGTGAAAAAGCAAAAGTTTTCATCAAATATTTTGAAATGTTAAGTTTATTATAATTCTATTTATTTGCCAACTTCAAATTGTACGTAACATACACAAGAATTTAAAAATTTTGAGCAATGGTTATCATTACTGTAGAACTTTATTTTACTAGTATACAATACTTTTCTTTTATATTCATTTTAGATCAGAATGAATGTGAAGATAATAATGGAGGATGTTCTCAAAAGTGTATAAACACGGCTGTTGGTTTCCACTGTTCTTGCTTTGAAGGCTATAAACTTGTAGATAATAAAACTTGTGAAGGTAAGCATGTAATACTAAGACTTATAATCACTAAAAATTTGTGAAAGAATCTTAAAGACGTTTTGGAACATTCCAAATTTGATGGTGTTTTACATCCCACCAGATATCAACGAGTGTGAAATACAGGGATCCTGCTCACAAGGATGTGTGAATACCAAAGGCAGTTATAAGTGTGATTGTATTGAAGGTTATGTTTTGGAACCAAGTAATCACCATAGATGCAGAGTATCAGGTAAGTGAGAAAAAGGTTTTGGGATAAGATTTTATGGTATTAGGTTATTCTACCTACAGCTCTAACCATTGCTCGGACTGATTTTGTTTGGAAATATTTTGTCAAATTTTGTGAAAGTATAGTATAAACTTGTGCAGTTGAGTCTAGTTTATACTTACAAAAATTCATTTTATTTGATGTAGTATTTGTATTGCTTTTTTTTTGTTTGTTTTTGAGAGTCAGAGATACTGTTTTTAACCCAAACGTGAAAAAATCCTTACTTTCTGGGTTGGGATTGTCTTGTGGTTAGTATGGTTCAAATCTATGCACAAAGTAAGACAGAAATCAAATCAAATGCTCTGCGTTTTAAGAATGATTAAATTCCACAAATCAGTTAAGTGTAGGTGGTGTGTGTGTGTTGTTGACAGTTGCCTTCCCTCGAGTTTTACTTTAGATTGATATCAATAGAATATAACAAACTCGTCTATTCAATCATCACGTCTGACATTTTCTGCTCCTTATGGTTTTCTTGTTCATCATACTGTCACTTTCTGTAATTTAAATTATTTTAATTAGACTTTGTTCTCAGTTGATAATGATGAAAGCTTCAAACTTTTGCCAGAACAGTTTATCAAGAATTTGTTGAATGTGTAAAAGGTGAAATATGAGAACGATTGTAAATGTTTTATAACCATGTTTGTCTTTGAAAAAAATAAATAAATTATTAAATACTTTTTTTTAATTTTCCCTTAGCAAATCATTACTAATTTCGTACAACCAATGATGTAAATATTTTTAGATATTTAACGTACATGTATACATTTTGTAAGTGTATTGTGAACTGGTATTGTTTGTTTTTAATATAATTTTTATTATTATTTTATTTGCAGAAGGAGGTGCAGTATTACTTTTCAGTAACCGACGAGATGTACGAAAACTTGACCTAGAAAGCTCAGAATATAAAGCTGTTATTAGTGATCTTCGAAGTGTTATTGCCTTAGACTTTGTTTATGATACAGAGATCTTGGTATGGTCAGATGTTGCAGAAGAATGCATTAAGAGGTAAATAAACATTGAATTTATATTAATGTATGTAATTTGATATACACGGTAAATTATTTGTGTGTCTTTGGTGACTACCAATCATAAAATTACCTGCTTTGTTTTCAGAATTTTTAAGGAATATGTGATTAACCACAAGCAGATTTATAAAGAGTCCCCCCCCCCCTTACTGAACTATTTTTTTTACAGTATCCTTATTCGAATACACTATCCTTCAATAACTGGAACCACATGAACTGAATCTTTCCATAACCATTTGGCACAAAGCAGGATTTCCTTCTAAGTTTGTTGTTACTGTTATACTTGTGTCTGCATTTTTCTGTTTTATTTGAACCCACTCATTTTTCTTGCCTGATTTATCTGAAATACTAGCATGGTTAATTCATGTGTACTTGAAATATTCTGATAATAACACTTTCTGTTTTCTTGGATAGTGTGTGGGTTCTTTTCCTCCGTAAACTGCATGATATTCAGTCCTAGTGGTTGTTCCAGTTAGTTCTAACTAAACATTTTATGTATTATTTCTATTTTTTTGTTCATGTCATAAACACTTGTCAGATTGAAAGGTGACACACTGTGTACAACTGACACCGTGCTTTGGAATAACCCTATCGTTACGAGGTTTCCTTTGGTTAGTAGTCAAAGGGAATGTCATCACAGTTGTAGGCTTACAATAAAAATTTTATTGAACTACATTTATATATAGGAATGTATGTCAATAAGTTTGGTATCAAATTGTAGATTATAAATCATATTTTAGTATTATACATTAGTTAATTTCTTAATTTAAATGTAAATATTAGAAAAATATTCCTAATTTCAGATTTTTGTGTTTCACGTGGTGTGTTAAATGCAGCTTTGGTTCAAATTAGATGTTTGAAAAATGATATTTTTTTTAGACCCAGAT